GGTGACTTAAACATATGCCCAAGTGGGTCATTCACCCATGTACCAATTATTTCTTAAGTAAAAAAAAAAAATGTTAATATTAAAAGTAGATATATTGTATAGTTATAGAGCCCTTGAAGAAAAACAATCTATAATTAGGTGTCTTAACCACAATGAAAATTCAGGCCCCCAAATTTTACAGGCACGTTTTACCAATTATTCAATTATTCAAGGATTCAAAAGGTTGAACATACCAATTGTTTCAGAGAATATAAAATCAGGAAAACTCCCTAACATATTCTATGAGTTTAGTGTAACCTCATCATTACCAAATCACATATAAGAAAGAAAACATGACTCTTGAACACAGATGCAAATTTGCATGCAAAATATGTGCAAAATGAATACAAGAGCATATTTTTTTTTTGAGAGAGAGAGAGAGGGAGAGAGAGAAGGAAGAGGGGAGGGGCAGAGGAAGAGAGAATAGTAAGTAGATTCCACACCCAGTGGGGAGCCCAATGAAGGGCTCAATTCCACAGCCACGGGATCATGAACTGAGCCCAAACCAAGAGTCAGACACTTAACTGACTGAACCATGCAGGTGCCCATAATATATTTTTAAAACATACCGTGACCACTGAGTTTATTCCAGGAATGCAGCAAGATGGCTTAATTTTTTAAGAACATTCATATATTTCACTACGAAATACATTAAAGGAAAAAATTGTATGTTTATCTCATAAAAAGCCTTTGATCTTATAAAAACGTTTAATAAAATTCACCAGCAATGCATTAAAAAAAAAAGTCTTAGCAAATATATTAGGATCCCTGCACACTCAAATGGGGTAATTTGAGAAAAATTTAATGACTTGCAATGGCGAGGGCATAATAAAGAAAAATCAGTTGAGATATTGTATCTTTTTTTAAGTGTATTTATTTTGAGAGAGAGAAAGAGAGCGTGGAGGAGGGGCAGAGAGAGAGGGAGAGAGAGAGAATCCCAAGCAGGCTCCATGCTGTTAGCACAGAGCCTGATGCAGGGCTCAATCTCACAAACCATGAGATCATGACCTGAGCTGAAGTCAAGAGTCGGATGCTGAACCAACTGAGCCACCCAGGTTCCCCGAGATACTGTATCTTTTAGGTCAAGTTCCCTTAAAAGGCTTGAGACAGGAGTTCAGGTACATGTATTTACTGAGAGTGTTCTCAGGATAAAAGGAGTGAGGGAAGCAGGGAAAGAAGGTAGAAAAGGTGTGATTTACCTAGACTCTGGCTTCAGTCTAATCCCATAAGAAGTTCTGCAGCATCAATTGCACTGCAGTTGGTCCCACCTTTAGGCAGCCCAGGGAGTCAGATTTTTGTGCCCCTGTTTTACTCGATCTTTGGCTATAGGCTGCTCCAGCAGGGGGAGGTGGGAATGAGAGTTTATTACATCTCTGGCAAGGCAGTTTTTCTTAGGCCAAAAGTAATTCTACCTGTTGAGGACATAAGAGTCATTGGTTGAAGGTATATCATGCATCCTGCAGCGTAGTAATCTAGCCTCACAGAGGTCCACTCCAAGTTGGAACCTTAGCTACAGCTTCAAGAGGATGGGGCGCCTGGGTGGCTCAGTCAGTTGAGCATCCGACTTCGGCTCAGGTCATGATCTCACAGTCTGTGAGTTCAAGCCCTGCATCGGGGTCTGTGCTGATGGCTCAGAGCCTGGAGCCTGCTCGGATTCTGTGTCTCCCTCTCTCTCTGCCCCTCCCCTGCACATGCTCTGTCTCTCTCTGTCTCAAAAATAAATAAAAACATTAAGGAAAAAAATTTTTTTAATTAAAAAAAAAGGCCATTCCATCACCCTTTTGGGCTAGCCACTTCTGAATGGTACAGAATACAGTAGGAGCTAAAGTCATGTGCCCATGATCTGTGCCCGTCATCACACCTACTTTGCTGTCAAATGAATCCCTTAGTCCAAGACAATATCAAAGAGAATCCCATATCTATAGACCAGACATTCTGTGAAATATTGGATAATGGTTCTGTTCAAAGTTCTATAGACAAGGAAGGCAACCCGATGCCCCCGAAACATGACGCTCTCAGTCAGGGAGAATTATTGTCCTTTCTGGGATTAAAGGGGGTTGATTAATCAACTTGCCACCAGGGACTGGTGGTCTCTCCAAAAACTGTTAGTATATGAGAAGCTCAGCACTGGTCTCTGTCTCTGTGAATGGCAGATCAGACACTCACCAGTGGTAGTGGCTGGGTCATCCTTGGTGACAGGGAGTCTAGGCTGCTGTACTAACGTGTAGCCTGCATCTGTCCACCAGCTGTACTCTGAGCCTATTTCACCACATCATTATATTGAGGACAGGAACTAGTTGGCATTTACTGGCCAGGCAATTCTGTTCACTTGGTAATTTAGTGCCTCTTCTATGGTGAATGCTCTTTTGAGACCATTAACAAATGATGCAAAGATTCTCACATTTGGTGCCCCCGACCACACATTCATCCACATTCCTCCTCTCCAGACCTGCATATCTTCAGTCTTCTAACCATGCTTCTCCAAAGCCCCTGACCAATTGGCAAAGTGCTTCAGTTCATATACATTGTTTCCTCTTCGTTTTGCTCTCCTCACAGAATAGATGCCCAGGTGGACTGCTTGAAGCTCTGTCTACTCAGAGGATTTTTTCCTCACCATTCTTCAGCTCCACTCCTGAGTGCTACTCCAGAACAGCAGCGGCCCACTCTCCAAGTACCCCATCCTACTGTGCCAATCCATCTATGAACTGAACCTAAGCCTTTTACTATAAGGTGAGCACAGGGAACGTCCACCCTGTGGACCACTCCAAGTGAATGCCACAGGTGTGAGCTGAGAAGAAGGTGTTTGGACCAGCCCTTAGAAAGAATGAGTATCTTTCAATTGCAATGATTAATAATAAACATGTTTCCTATAAAAAATTTTTTTTGAGTTGTAGATGACATGAAACTTACATGCGCCTCTGGACTTTCTCCACCTCAATACCAGATGTACCTTCGCCATTTTACAAGGGATTCCTGTTGGCCTATCTGATGTTAAGACTTGGTGGGTCTGACTATGCCCAACTCGGGATGGAAAGTTTTGGCTTCACGATCATTTGGGGTCACATTGTTGGACTCTGTCTTTACCAGGACCCAGAAGCACATCAGGGAGCCCCTTTTCCAATAAGTAGAAACGTCCTCTGCTCTAGATAGCGCATGCTTGCTGCAGAATCTTAGGAATCTCTAACCTCCTTCTAAGACGTGTTAAAGGCTCCAAAAGATATCTTTATCAGTGACAGAGACTTCTGGCATACTGAAGATCTTCTGAGTCATACGTCCTAAATTTCAGGGCTGCTTATAATACATCCTAGACCTGCTACGGATTGCTTTTTGAATCTGGACTCTATTCGAAACCAGCAACATTCCACATCATGTGGGTCAGAACAGTTTTCTCAAACGTGGAAGATGCTGACTCTAAAATTGAAGAGAACTACCAAGCACCGTGCTTCTTCTCAGTGGTAGGAAGCACAAGGCACAAGCCTGTCCTGTCATGTTCTGGACCACAGAACCACTGAGAACTGCACCAATGTGGCCGGTCCTTGAATTTTTTGTAGGATTTTTCTTCCACCCTCTGGAGCCCATATGACTTAACCAAAACACCCTGATTACCTACCACTCCTTGCTCATCTGATTAGCATGATGTCATCGAAGCAATGAACCAGTGAGGTTTTCTGTGCAATGTCCAAATGGTCCGGTTTCCTTGGGACAGAAAGCAGAGAAACTGATGTAGCCCTAGGGCAAGACCATGAATGAATGTATCCTGCTGTCCATTCTTAAGTGGATGCAAAGTATTTCTGATCCTATTTTCCAACAGATATCAGGAAGGATGCATTTGCCAGATCAATAACTGGTATACCAGAATCTGTCCACCTGGTTTAATAGATTCCACATCTGGCCCAACAACTGCAGCTGGGATTTAAACTTGGTGAAGTTTGCATTAGGTCACTGTCATCCGTGCTAACCCAACTATTTTTGTAGGGACTAGAGTGGCAAAGGAGAGGGTATGATGAGGATCACTAGTCCTGCATTCTCTGTATCTGAGGATGGCAGGGATCGTCATTCCCCTCATGATTTTAGGGGATGCTCATTAGCTTTTTTGGCTACAATAACTCTTCCTCTAAAATTCAAGAGACAAGTGTGAGTTCCAAATGCTAGTAGGTGCTTCGTTCCTATCATACATTCAGGAATCCAGGAAGTAACCACTAGGTGAGTCTGTGTACTTTGTGGACCCACTATGAGATGGAGCTAAACTAGGACTCCATTTACCACCTAATCTCAAGCTGCCCCTACTCTAACACAGGCCCAGGAAGGCAGGAAACAACTCGGTCTTGTCTCCAATCGTCTTCAAAAGAGGTGAGTGTGCCACTTTCCTCAGCATACGATTACCCAAGTAAATGCTTTAAGGGAAGGACTAGGCAAATCATTACTTTATTCAGACACCATGATGTTTTGGGATCCTTTAAGGAAACGTAGCCTCCCTGTCAGCTGATATTTTTTTTAAGTCTAAGGGCATTTCAAGTCCAGAAACAGGGAAAGGGGCTCTGACTTTCCATTGTGGCGACTGACCTCAGCCTTCTTTTCACTTATTGTTGAGGTCCTTTGATTTTATATATTGAATAGCATCTATCTCTCTTGTCCTAGGACCAACATCCTCTATTAAACATCTTTATAGACCTCTGTGGATGAAGGCCATTCCAACTCTGCTCCCTTCTGGTCATTACATTCACCTGGCTTCTGAGAGTTAAATGTTGCCAGCTGGCATCACTTTGGCTCCTAGGGACCCCTATTCTAGAACAACATCTCCTCCCATCAGCCCTGGCCCAAGAAGATAACCTCCACTGAGCTTCTCAGCCATGTCTGTGCTCCCCTAACCAGCACATTCCTTATTATCTTGGTAAACAGGGTCTCCTACAGGGCCCCTCAAGAAACAGCATCAGCTGGTGGTTTCCCTGTCTTAGCAAATCTCAGCAGGAGGGCCCATCTCTCCAGGCCTTTTGGTCCCCTTCCTTCATAGTCTCTACTTCAGTTATCATGACCCAACACTTTTCCTGAGCAAAGTCATCCAGCCAAGTCTTTGCTTTTGGGCCCTCAGCAGTGTTTTCACTCCTGTATAACAGGAGAGTGTCTTCATATCGGCAAACACTCCCTTTTCCAGTCTTACACTGATCCACCTTGACCCTGAACCCTCAAGAACCCTTCCACAGGTGCACCGAGAAACATGAAAAGACATAAAAGCAAAAAGACCAGAGGCAACCCAACTGTCCCTGAATGGGGGAATAGATAATGAAATGACAGTCTTTTCTTTTTCTTTGTTTTTAAAGACAGTATTTTCTTATAATGAACTGCCTACCCATTACCAAGACCAATAATGAAAATGAACGAAGTGCAGATACGTCAGTATGAATGAATCCTCAAAGCTTTAAAAGCAAATCGCTGAAGAATACATACAGTATGACCTTGTTTTTATAAAGTTCAAAATCAAGCAAAAGAAACAATGCTTACAGTTTGATGTAAACATGATAAAATCTAGAAGGAAGCAAGGAAATTCAGGAAGATAGCGCTGGTAGAGGGAAGGACATGGGGTCAGAGAGGAGCCTCATTAATAATATCAACCTCATTCGGGGCACCTGGGTGGCTCAATAGGTTGAGCATCCGACTTCGGTTCGGGTCATGATCTCGCGGTTTGTGAGTTCGAGTCCCGCGTCGGGCTCTGTGCTGACAGCTCAGAGCCTGCAGCCTGCTTCGGATTCTGTGTCTCCCCTTCTCTCTGCCCCACCCCCACTCATACTCTGCCTCTCTCTGTCTCTCAAAAATAATTAAATGTTAAAAAAATGTTTAAATAATAATATCAACCTCATTAATAACATGTGTATTCGATTTTTTCTACCTATATATTAGTTCATAATTTTTAAATAAAAAATAAGACTTATTAGACACAATCCTTTGCCTCAAGCTGCTCACAGTCTCGGAAGAGAAGTCAGACTTATAAAAACAAACCCTAATACAAAATATAGAAGAAAATTGCATCAGGGAAAAAAGGTAACTAATTATAACTGGGAAGATCAGGAGAAACTGGTGGCATTTGAGGTAAGCTTTAAGTACATTTCTAAGGAGTAGAGGGAGAGAAGAAAGTTCTCTCCGAGGTATGAGCATATCAGGATAACCTGCAGAGAATGCCGGGAAATGAGGGACATGGTCCACGATTCCATCTATTTGCTATTCCTTCCACCTTCACCCCTTAGAATAACTTCTACAACCCCCAGGGGGTACTCATTTTGTCCAGTGAAACAGAAAAAGCACAAATTTGAGCACAGAGAAAGGTGGTTTGAATTACCTTCCCACCATTCACCAACTCTTGGACTCTCCCCCGTTCTCCTGCGCAAAATGGAGACATCGTAGTTACCGAAGAGTTATCTCGAAGGATGAAAAACGTGAGGAAAGGTTAGCTCCCATTCTCAAAACACATTTCTGTCAGCGGCTTGATTTCTATCATTAGCTGGATTTTATCTTTCAATTCTATGCAGAACAGACAGTGTTTCCTTGACCTCAGAGAGAAGGTGGCCTCAAAGCCAACCCGGCCATGACGTATAGCACCGGAGGAGAGTTTATTTGACCTCCCTGAGCCTCGGTCTCCTTCCTTGAAAAGCAGGAGGAAAACTGAACCAGGGGTACATAAATCGATTTCATCCCACTCAGGGGTAGATAAAGCGATCACGTCTCACTTGCCATCAGTAGGCAGTGGCTATCTTGTCTGAGCGAGGAAGGCTTCTGAATCTGCCTTTAGCGTCCGTGAAAGAGAAAGTCGCGGCCAGTTCGTGTCTGATCAACGGGCCTTGAGCAAGAAAGAGAGCAAGTCTACCCTCCTTCTAAACTGCTGTGGAGTCAGAGGCAAAGTGAAACCGCTAGTCGGCTGGCCAGACAGTCTGAGTGATAAAGGTTATGATGAATTCCCTGCTCCCCCGGCATTTCTTGAATCTAAGTAAACAAGTCAATTTATGGTGTAGGCTGATTTCATCCCCAAAATGAGTGTCACAAAAAAGCTGAGTGTACTTTTAGGAAACGGCCCCTTTTTAGAGAGTTCATATCTAAGGTGATGTCATGCCGAGGCTTCCAGATGAAGAGGAATCTTTTCTGGAGGAAACTTCTGACCTTTAACCAGGGGTATTCGATAGCCTATCCTCATTTCAACCGGGGCCTCTGGGTTCCAGCTTTGATAATCAATGCCCATAGCAGTTCGATGTGAAACTCTGATTTGGTATATGAGTCACCATAGGCCAGTGTGGGGCAGGGGAATACCCTGTCCACTAGAAAGAAAAGTCACTGCGGCACGGGGGGGTGGGGTGAGTCAGACCACAGCTACTCTTGAGAACCTTCATGCTGATAATTCACCCACTTATCTCAAGGAACCGAGGGGCTTTTTCCTTTAAAACAAAACAAAACAAGAAAAGTTGCCAACACCCCAACTGGGATTTCAGAAGCTAATTTCCAAATTGCTCCATTCCACATTACTTTGAGGGAATCTTTGGTTTCTTGGTATTAACATCTTGTTACGGGACGGTTTTAAGTGCGATGGAATCAGAGGGAATAAGAACACAAACTGCCTGTACTGATCCCTCAGCTTTGGCCGTTTTGAATCCATGGACGGTCTGGCTTTATCTCTTCCCCCACCTGCTGCCCTCCCTATCCTCTGGGTTATTTCGAAGTAAATCCCGCATATATCATTTTATCGGTAAATTCAGTGGGGTTTTTACACTTGTGCTTTGCAAGTTGAAAAAGCTCTACCAAAACTTATCCCCCATCTGTTACCATACTGTCTTACAGACCTGGCTGCAACCTGTCCCAGGTCACAGGGATAGTAAGTGACAGAGCCAGAGGTTAAACCCCAGGGAGCTCCAGCTCAGACCAGCAGATAAAGTATTTAAACTCAGAGCCCTTATCTAATTACAAGCGACTCTTTAATAAAAAATACTGAGGGGCGCCTGGGTGGCTCAGTCGGTCGAGCTTCTGACGACGGCTCGCGTCATGATCTCACAGTTCGTGAGTTCAAGCCCCGCGCGGGGCTCTGTGCCAACAGCTCGGAGCCCTGAACCTGCTTCGGATTCTGTGTCTCCCTCTCTCTCTGCCCCTGCCCCGCTCTCTCTCTCTCTCTCTCTCTCTCTCTCAAAAATAGATAAAACATTAAAAAAAATAAATAGTGAATGTGGAGAGTAGCTGCTAGCTTGCATAATACAGTCAACCAATATTTCTAAGCACCTACTATGTTCACAATAAACACTTATACATAAATAGTGTTTTGCAATGTACAAAGCCATTTATTTTTTTAATGTTTATTTTTGAGAGAGAGAGACAGAGAGACAGAGAGCATGCATGAGCGGGGGAGGGGCAGAGAGAGAGGGAGACCCAGGATCCGAAGCAGGCTCCAGGCTCTGAGCCGTCAGCACAGAATCCAATCCGGGGCTCGAACTCATGACCCATGAGATCATGACCTGAGCCAAAGCTGGACGCTTAACCGACTAAGCCATCCAGGCCCCCCTGTTAAAAGCCCTTCAAACTTCCAGATGGCCCCTGAGAACTATTACAGTGTGTATCTTATGAGGTAATAAAGTTCTGAACAGGCAGCTCAAGCTCTCTAAGTTTTGCTGGTAAGTGGTCTCAAACTCTGACTTCAAGGGCAACTCCCCTTCCAATATAGGTCATGTGTTGCTGTCAGCAAAAGTAAAGCCTGGAAAAGCAAAAAGCATCGTACAAATGTAAGTGACGTGTCTCCTTCGCTACCAACAACGATCTACCGAACAGAATACATGAACAGTGAACAGTGTTTCCCAAAGGAGGGCAAACAGAGTATCAACTCCTGAACGCACTACAAATTATTTGTGAGTATCTATCTGAAGGCCTCATCTTGTGGCTGACTACACCAGCAATTCAGACTGTGGTAACACGCTGAAGTCTGAAAAGACGAGATGTGCTCTAGCGAAAATGAGAGCCCCCACAGGAAATTCTGCATTACTGAAAACCACTCGTCTCCAGCGTGGCTCTGCCCCCCACCCCAAGCCCCGCAGCCTGGTCCCGCCCCTGGGAGGAATGGGTTGATTGGGAAGTTAGACATTACACCAAGCCACACGGACAAAGCCTGTCTGAGAAGCAGCCTCAAGAGGGAAGAAAAAAATGCATTAGATAAAGGAAACTCAAGAGGCCACAGGAAAAAAAAAATACGAGCACTGAAATGGCATTTCCTGTAGTTTCAGGGAAACATGCACTGTCGTCATTCTGTGAAACCTCATCCACTATTCTGCTTGTGGGCAGGGAATACGAGGAGAAGCCTGCCGGTGTTTCCTGCCTCCTCCACTCCTGCGAGCTCACAAAACCACCGATCAGAATCTTCTACCATGAGGCCTCTTGACCCAAACATTCAAGCCACTCTTTCAACAGAGTGCTCTTTTTGCACACCAAAAAACAATGCATGCGTTAATTGTTCAGTGGACCCAAAGGAAAAAAATGTTTGCTTTATTGATGTACTTGAGACGTGTTGCCTTGAATTACTTTTGCACGGAATACTTAAAATATATTTCCAAACGGTCAAACGTCAACCACGCGCACATTTTCAAGCAATTTAGGGTTTAGTATGTTCTAGTGAACGAATTCCTATATTGCAGATTTAACCAAAAAGAGCTCTTTGAAAAGTCTTAGTTGTTTTTTCAAATAAGAGCTAAATTGGTAAGTATCTTTGGCTTGGTAAGTATCCACTTGGTAAGTATCTTTGGCTGTGATTTTTAATTTTTTTTTTCAACGTTTATTTATTTTTGGGACAGAGAGAGACAGAGCATGAACGGGGGAGGGGCAGAGAGAGAGGGAGACACAGAATCGGAAACAGGGTCCAGGCTCTGAGCCATCAGCCCAGAGCCCGACGCGGGGCTCGAACTCACGGACCGCGAGATCGTGACCTGGTTGAAGTCGGACGCTTAACCGACTGCGCCACCCAGGCGCCCCTTGAAGATGGTTTTAAGGTGACAGTAAAATTACCAATTCCAATGGGGCAGATAGGACATCGTGTCTCCTACGAGAAGGGTCTAAGTTATGATATGCATCTTCCAGGAAGAGACCATGGGGTGGACGGGGTGATCAAAGCAAAAGACATTGCCGGAAAGTCTACACGGATAATGAATCTTGTTTATGAGGGGCATGACCTTGTTTGCATCATTGGTTTTTGCTTCCAGTCCTTAGTGGTCATTTCCTGCTGGTTTCTTAAAATGAAATGACCAAACCATCCCAACCTCATTCCTGCCCCCCAAAAACTAACAACCTCAACTCAGTTTTGTGGTTACTGTTATCCCAAAGGTTCTAATCAGACATTTTTCCCCCTCACCTGAGCTTAGCAAACTTGCTCATTCCTGAGCTGTGGAACCAGCTGGGGACCTCTTGCCTCATGGATACATGAAGGACCAATAAACATTTTTTTTTTTAATTTTTTTTTTCAACGTTTATTTATTTTTGGGACAGAGAGAGACAGAGCATGAACAGGGAAGGGGCAGAGAGAGAGGGAGACACAGAATCCGAAACAGGCTCCAGGCTCTGAGCCATCAGCCCAGAGCCCGACGCGGGGCTCGAACTCACGGACCGCGAGATCGTGACCTGGCTGAAGTCGGACGCTTAACCGACTGCGCCACCCAGGCGCCCCTAGGACCAATAAACATTTAATGAGTATTTGGAGTTTAGGCTCTATCCTGAAGTTGATTTTTTTTTTTTTTATGGTGGAAAAAAAATGTATATTTAGATTTAGCCAGTTGGACTCCATCTCAATGAAGCCAATTTTGTTGGCGGAATCCAAAGTGTCATAGTCGGGACTCAGCCGAACATATGCCTTCTCTCGGTTGGGCCCGACCCGGGTGTTGACCTTGGCCACGTCAATGTCATAGAGCTTCTGCACAGCCTGTCTGAACAGGTGTTTGCTGGCCTTGGCATTGGCAATGGATACAAGTGTGTTGTTGTCTTCTATTTTCTTCAGGGCTGACTCGGTGGTCACAGAGAACTCGACGATGGCACAGGGCAACTTGTTTCTCTGGAGGCGCTCTTTTAAGGATATTTGGGCTGCCTTTGGAGACGCCATCAGAATGGCCATCAGAATGTAGGTGATAGGCTGCTCTTCCTTTTTTGTGACTGTGGATGCCTTTCAGCACCACTTTCTTGGTCTTCAAAGCCTTTGCTTTGGCTTCGGCTTTGGGAGGGGTAGGGGCTTCCTTCTTTGCCTTCGGCGTCATCTTTGCGAAAGGTATCCTGAAGTTTAGACGCTGCTGACCACAAATTTATTTTTTAAATGCACTCTTCAGTAGCAATCTAGATCTTGTTTGTTTTGAAGAACAGAGCTCTAGTGACTAAACAAAAATACATATACCAGATGCGCTTCTCTGTTCCAAAGGAACCAGAATGAATTTTCCAACCACATCTCCTTAAATCTCCAAACAAGGGAATGAGTGGATGACCTGGTATCTTCATTTTCCATGTAAGAGTCTGATGATCCAAGTTGGCTCAGAGAGTTCAGTCAATTTCTGAAGCCACATCTATCCCTTTATAAAACCTGGCTCTTAACCAAAATGTAGATGGCTACACACTTACACACACTGAGTTTGTGTACTTTATGCATTTGGGTAACTTAACATCATGCACATAGAATCTGATACTGACATTTGTCCCATATATACTTACAAATAAAAACAAGAACAGACAGCATACGAGGAAGAAGGAATATGGAACTTTTGCTTTTTCACAGCCATTAAGAAGGATTCCAGGCTGAGGATTAAACTGTCACGAAGAATTATCTTTTGAATTACCTGTGTGTTCAGCAACGCTTATCATGAGGAGTAATCATTCAGTGGCAGAGCACAGATAGTAAATACAGCACGTTCTACTTACTATAATTCAGTAGTTCTCCACCTTCCACCAAATGCCTCCTTTACTGTTACGAAGTGAACCTGATAGAAAATAAAACCTACACGCATTAAAAAAAAAATTTAATTAAGGGGCGCCTGGGTGGCTCAGTCGGTTGAGCACCCGACTTCGGCTCCGGTCATGATCTCATAGCTGGTGAGTTTGAGCCCCCCATCGAGCTCTGTGCTGACAGATGGGAGCCTGGAGCATGCTTCGGATTCTGTGTCTCCCTCTGTCTCTGCCCTTAACCCACTCGCATTCTGTCTCTGTCTCTCTCAAAAATAAATAAACATATATATATATATATATATATATACTTAATGTGTATATATATATATATATATATATATTTAATGTAGAAAGATTGGGGGGGGACTTAAGAGAAGTTATAAATAGAGTTTTAACGTTATTACAACGGAGAGATTAACTGTGCTGGGGGAGGGCCTCGATGACTTCCAGTTAAAGATGGTGAGTTGAGCACATGTCGTCGTCCCCATGCTCTCCTGAAGTACCACTATTGTAACAGCAAAGGGTTTTTTAAAGGCATAAGCCATAGAGAATGACAACAACAACAAAAAGTGGGGGGACTGGAAAGTTATATGTAACAGACTTTGTAGAACCAAGCAATTGAACACTAACCCAGTATTGGGGGAAAGTTAAGAAAGAACCCAATATAAATTGCAGACCTCCAAAATGCCGAAGAAATGGCATCATCGGATACTTCTAGAAAAACTAACCAGAGACTTGGTTAAAAGTCTGTTTCAGTAGCAGTAAAGTTTCCATATCTACTCCCTTACTCCTGAGACTGTCCCTCCTTTCCCTGGTGCAAGGTTCATTCTCTGGACAGAGTAGAACAGAGGGCATCTGCGCTGGGGGAGACCAAGCATAATTTAAGGTGATGCTTAGGCTTCAAGAAAAGAAGGATTTAGTGAAGACATACTGAAAGTTGAGACCCTGACCACCCTCCACACTCGGCTCCCTGAGGCTGACAGCCAGACTTAAATCACCCACCAGCAGACCAGACAATGCAGAATCCACTTCAAAAGGAAAGATCTAGAGACGCAAATACTGATACTAATAGTGACTTTTTCCCGATGAAACAGCATGTCCAGATCATGCTAAAGTGCACCCCACGGGTAGAAATCAGGCCCCTATGTCCAGCACCATTAATCAGCTCTGAGCTCTGGATTGTTAACTATGAATGAATAGCCAAGGAGCAGCAGACATTTGGAGAAACCTTTGCATAGGAAGAAGAAAAGTCAAAGCAAAATTAATCAACAATAAAAATGTTGGGGAGGGGGAGTAAGAAAAAAAGAGAAGAAAACTTTAAAAAGAAACGATCATCAATTTCTTGAGAATAAAATAAGACAAGATATTCTTTCCATGAAATGAGAACAATGTTTTCAAAGAGGTTTTCCTGAGAACAACAATGTGCTTTAAAGTTAAAATATCGGGATGCCTGGGTGGCTTAGCCAATGAAGTATCCGACTCTGGATTTCGGCTTAGGTGATGATCTCACGGTTCATGAGATCAAGACCCCCATCAGGCTCTGAGTTGACAGCATGGAGCCTGCTTGGGATTCTCTCTGTCTCTGTCTCTGTCTCTTTCTCTCTCTCTCTCTGCTCCTCCCCTGCTTACACTCTCTCTCTGTCTCTCTCTCTCTCAAAATAAATAAACATTGAAAAATAAAATTAAATAAAAAATTAAATAAAAAATAAAATTATCTTAAAAGATAATCAGAGAAAAAAATTTAATCTCTGGAAAGTTTTGAAGTTAAAACTGAGGAAATATCCCAGAAATAAAAAAGGAAAAATAGAAGGAAATACACACACACACACACACACACACACACACACACACAAATTATAAGATCTAATTAAGAGTCCAGAAAAAGCTAACTGAAAAAAATGAATACGCGAGTAACATTAAAGAAATGATGTGTATAAATTTCCTAAATCTGAACATTAGTTTCCAAATTAAGAGTCTAGAACTCCAGAATACTGTGCTAAGGGTCATTGCCCTGAAGTTTCAGAATGCTGCAGTCAAGGATCAGGAACCTGAATGACTTTAACATTGTCAGGAAGCACACCAGAAGGTAGAATAAAATAGAACAAAATACTTGCAACACGTTGAAGGGAAATCACCTCTTATCTAGGCTTCTGTACTCAGCCAACTATCAATAAAGCACAAGCATGGAATAAAGACATTTTCCAAAATACAGGCTCTTAAAACTTTGCTTCCCGTGCACTGTCTCTCAGGAAGCAATGACGAAAGTACTCTAATGAAATGAAAAAGTCAGTGGGTCAGCGAGCGGCACGGAAGCCTCTCGATGGTGAAAGGAACTCCCAAGGTCTCCGGCCTCATGTCATGGCTCCGTGGAGCAGAAGGCTCCAAGTTGAAGCAGAGGACCTCGAGATCAACAGTCTGGGATGACAAGGGTGAGCCCCTGAGCAATTCCTTCAGCAGAGCACCTGTTGGAAAAGGGAGCTGTCAGGGACAGCCTCCAGCTACCATGCCTGGCCCTGCTGTCACCAGGCTGTTCCCGGCCAACACCCCAGCACTTCTGTCCAACATGCGATTCCTCCGGTGAGGCTCTCAGCCAACCGTGCAGGGAATTCCTCAGAGCTGTACTGCAGTTGACGCTCTCTCTTCCCCCTTCCCGTATCAGCCCCGCATCCTGGTCCGAAGGCTCTCCCTGCCTCTCCTGCTTTCACCCTCTATCTTTCCATAGGCCTTTCCACCCCAAATTCTCTCACCCTTCAGATACCATTTTCTTTCTTTTTTTTTTTTAATTTTTTTTAACGTTTATTTATTTTTGAGACAGAGAGAGACACAGCATGAACAGGCGAGGAGCAGAGAGAGAGGGAGACACAGAATCCGAAACAGGCTCCAGACTCCGAGCTGTCAGCACAGAGCCCGATGCGGGGCTCGAACTCACGGGCCGTGAGATCGTGACCTGAGCCGAAGTCGGAGGCTTAACTGACCGAGCCACCCAGGAGCCCCTCAGATACCATTTTCATGTCTACTTCCTGGAGGACCCAAACTAACCCAAATCCAGAACACAGGTTAGAAACTCCTGGAAAAGAGCCTTCAAGAAGACACAATCGGGGCGCCGGGGCGACTCTGTTGGTTAAGCGCCTGACTCTTGATTTAGGCTCAGGTCATGATCTCAGGGTCCTGAGTTGGAGGCCCGAGTTGGACTCTGCACTGGGTATGGAGACTGCTTAGGATTCTCTCTCTCCCTTTCTCCCCCACCCGGCTCACTCTCTCTCACGCTCACTCTCTCTCTCTCCCAAAAAAAGAGATCATAGTATTAGAATACCCAATGTATTTGATTTCAGTGAACAACGTTAATACAAACGGAGATCTGGGAATAATCAATGATAAATACATCGACGATTAGCCTCTTTCCCACCCCACAAAAAGCAGTAGTTAACTCCACTGAGGAAAAGCCTAGTTGGCTGCATGACACGGCTCAGAACAGAATAAGAATGTAAGCACCGCACAGTAATCTACCTGAAGTTACAACTTACGTTGGAAAAACAGAGCGACAGGAAATTTCCAAAAATGCGGTAGGGATTAGTTGTGAAAGAGAACTAAACCTTCAGCTTGAATATTAAGAAATCAATAGCTAATGCCTACAGCAGGAAAATGAAGAAGCAACAAGTATGTTACACAGTGAAATGAGGTGAATGGTACCAAAAGAATCAGAATTGTTGGAGGTAGTTGCCCCTGGAAAACGGATAATGAATGGGGGCAGTTTAGGAAACTGGGCTGGTTTTTTTTTTGCATTAAAAACCATAAAGAACAATTTAACTCTTAAACTATGCCCAACTATAACTTTCATGAAAAAAATGCATTGCTCGGGCACCTGGGTGGCTCAGTCAGTTGACCATCTGGCTCTTGATTTTGGCTCAGGTCATGATCTCATAGCTCATGAGATTGAGCCCTGTGTTAGCCCCACTAACTTGGGGCTCGCAGCCTGGGATTCTTGGGATTCTCTCCCTCTCTCTCTCTCTCTCTCTCTCTCCAAAAAAAAAATAAATAAATATTAAAGAAATAATACATTGCAAAACAAAAGAATGTACTGTAGGGAAGCTCAGTGTGAAGTAAGAGGAAGGCCCTAAGCAGACCGTGAAAGAGAGGAAAGGATCAGCCATGACGAGGTGGGTGAGAGGGGCCTGGGAGCGAGAACCAACAGCTTATGCTGTGTCCGAAATAGAGTGAACAATAGGTTGGTGTGGCTGAAGTGTGGTGAGCAGTGAGGAGAACAGCACACGATGACCCTGGACACACAGGTGGGGACACACAGGGCCTTGTCAGCCACATTATCACAGGA